AGAGCCCAGGAAGCATGGTGAGTAGCTAACTGGCTAGTCATGAAACTACAACTTACCTCCTGAAATCTCTTTATTATGTGCTTGTATCTTTGCACAACTAGTGTTTGATTTTCTTATACCATGGAACTCTCTTACAGATTCCTGTCAGGGATGAGAACTAACATTTGTTCTATATGCCAAAAGTCCTCAGTATGTGAGACACATAAGATCAAAAATTTACTGGCAAACAAGGAATGAGTCTTCATATTCAGGTTCCTCTCAATCTACACTTCTGTGATATCTCCTTGTTCCTTTCCTTTGACCATCCTACTGTAAACTTCCGAGATACAGGGAGTATATTATTTGCTTATCTTATAAACCTGCAAAGTGCCTAATACAAGACACAGACTGTAATCTTGACACTTGTTATTGACAATTATTTTGCAAACTGGACTCTGACATTAAAAATAAAGGGGCGCAAGGGTTAGGACATCTAACATGAAGTCACAGCACCTAGCTAACGCATCAGCTATTTGAAAAAGATTTTCTGTAGTTATTGCATGTGTGTGTGTAAAATTAGAAACAGTATCTTCTTTATGACTCAGCAGAGATATAAGATTTCGAGGATGAATGAAATCTGTGTGTGAAGTATGTGCAATCATGCACAAGGACAGTAATTAAGGGGCTTCCAAGGTTCATTCAAGCATTGCTATGTGCCAAGCATTATGCCAAATCCTGGAGAAGACAGAAATAAGAATGTGATGAAGTCTATGGAACTGGAAAGAACACTGGTGGATCTACAGAGTCTTCAGGCTGCTACCTCCCTAACCTTCTCTGAACTATCTCCTGGGTCTCTGTTCACCTCAATCTCTTTGTTAGTCTCTATGCTGGTTTCTCTTCTTTGATCCAGCCTCTAAGTCAGTAGTTCTCAAAGTTTGGTCATGGGAACACCAACATCAGCATTACCTGAGAACTTGTTCAAAATGCAAATTCTCAACCCCATTCAGACCTATTCATTCAATCAGAAACTATGGGCGGGGGGTCCAGCAATCTGTGTTTTATCAAGGCCTCAGGTATTTCTGATGCACACTCAAGTCTAAGGACCAATCAAAATTTGATCTAAGTGTTGATGTCCCAAAGTTCCATTCCTTGTCCTTTCCAGTTCTCATTCTCTAATTTTTGGGTAGTTATATCTTCTTCTACTACCTCTACAACACTAACTCTAACTACCACTACTAATAGCAGCAGCTATCATTTATTAAACATTTATAAGCTAGGCACTGTGCTAAGCATTGTGCACATACTATCTTATTTAATCTCCACAGTGATTCTTTAAGGTATTATTAACCCCACTTTTAGGAAGAAATTTAGGCTTAGAGATATTAAATAACTTGCCCAAGGTCACCCAACCCAACCAATAAGTGAAACAGATCTGACCTCAGGTTTTCCTGACTCCAAAGTCCACGGCATTAGCTACTATACTCACTCTTAGAATAGTACTATTTCCATAGCCTTGGAGATTGTCACAGTTATTCCTCAACTGTCTCATCAACTCTGGAGTAGAATTCCCAATCACCTACTGGCTCTCTCGAAATTCTACACAGGGACCTAGATAATTAACATGCCATAATTTCTTCTCTCCACTGCATATCTGTTCTTCCTCCTGTGTTTTCTAATTTAATGTCATCATAATCACCAGTTACTCAAGCCAGACACATCTTTGACTTCTCACTCTCCCTCCTCTAGATGGTCATAACATTTAGAGATTTTAACATCTAAAATACCTCTACAGTCCACCCATTCCCACTCTCCCTCTTCAGGCTCCCAGCATATCTCATCTACATCCTAACTGGTCTCCCTGCCTCTCCACACTAATGCAGTTCTGCGCAGGAACTGCCAGTTAATGTTCTGATCTGATTAGTCCACCTTCCAAGGTTCTCCATCACCCACATAGGGGTGGCATTGAAGGGAGGAAAGTCTAGGCTTTTTAGAATGGTATGGAAGACCCCCTCATAATTTGGCTCCAAATATACCTTTCCTGTCTCATCAAGAAACAACTCAAGGTTTTCCAAAAACCCTATTAATTTTAATCTTTGGCAACTTTGCTTATGCTCTCCCCTCTGCTTGGAATGCTTCTTTTCCCTTTTACATATACAAAATTCTACTTAACCTGCAGGGCTAAGTTCTATCCTCTTCTCTTTAAAGCCTTCCCTGATTCTACCAATTTTTCCCCAGCCAAAGTCATCAATGCCCTCGGCATTTTACTTATTCCAAAGTGATTAACTCTTATAACACACCACATTTAGGTGTTCGTCTAGTCTGATGAACACTTAGTATCTCAGGGGGTAGACCGTGTCTTATTGTTTGTGTTCCCAGCACCTACCACAGTATCTAGCCATAGCCAGCACCCAATAAATATTTGCTGAGTTGTTAAATAATGCAACATTTGGTGTTGCAACTTTACACAGGGTACGTTAGCAATTCAACTTCAGGTTTATGTACCACTCAAAAGAATTTCCACATAACAACAAAAGATATTATAAAAACCAAAGGTTCAATATTCAGCAGCAACATTTTTAATTTTCTCAAGTGTTTTTGTCAATATTTGTTAGCATCCTTCTTCAAATAGACTCCTTTCCCAGCAAACATTATTTGTATATTTTACAGGATTAGCAGTAACTTCAATCCTCACAGACCACTGTAAGAGATAATCCCAAGCAAAACTGTGTCACCGAGAGTGGCTGGATAATTGCTTTGGGTACATCATTTCAGATTTCCAATGGAGAGGCCCAAGCACATCAGGTAGATTTTAGAAATGGGGACACGCACTGTTGACTAAACACATAAGATACACCCACATTAGTGAGGCATTTATTCAAATTAGTAACTGAAATCAGAAGTATACAGCAACCTGATCCTGGTTCAACCATAATATCCCTTAATCTTAAGTAAGGATAACACGTATTCTTGTCTAAGACTCTATTTTAACACAGCTCCCATCCCACCCAGCAAGCAGGCCCTATCCCGTTATCAGTGGGATGCTGATAAGCCTGACTTAGTCTTAACACTTTTCCCTTCCCAACCTGCTAAACCTTATCTCTCCAGTATCTCCCTATCAGTGATTGCCTACCCCATTCACCGGACAGGACATGAAGGTCTCCTCAATATATCCCCCATCAAGCACACTCACACGATTTTCTCAACATGTGATTTCTTATCTCTTCTCTAATTCAAATTTTATAGCTCTTTCAAAGACCGGATCAAATCTTACCTCTTCCAAAGAGTTCAGTAGCTCAGCCCACCACAGGTCTTAGCTTTTCTAAATTTCTACTGCATTTAAAGTACAGCTCCTCCCACAGCACTTATTTACATACATACTGTCTCATTTGGTTTCATGATGATTTGACATACATATGTTTGTCTTCCCAGCCAGACTGTTTATTCTTAAAAAAAAAAAAAAAAAAAAAAAAGCCAGGTCTTCTATGTCATTTGTACCCACAACCCTCCTCCCACACGTAACATGATATAGGGCAGGGGGGCACAGGTATTAACTACTTGATGAACAGAGTTAAATGTTTGCTGTACATTAATAAACACTCAGACACAGTGCAATATATAACAAATACCTACTGTGTGCCTACTCTGCAGCAAACTTTTGTAGATGTTTAAGAATAAAATGCTTATGAATGCTTATGAATAAAAATGACAGGATACCTGTCCTAAAAACTGGTACAGTCCGCAGAGCAAGAGACATTGAATTCCCAGTACTCTAAGTGCTACAGAGCAAGGTTATTATTGGTTCCAAGATGTAAGCACCTCAGGCAGCATACTTTACAGAGCCTCAGTTATGAAACTGAACCACAAAATTTTAGAGCTGAATGAAAACTCACAAGTTATTTTCTTCAATTTTCTTGCACAGATTACGATTAAATTTCAGGACAGTCTCTGTACCAGTTCTAAACATTGCCTTAATCAAAAGTCAGGAAATACTGACTTCTTCCCTACCTCCAATACTCTTTTCTCCCAAGGATGATAACTACAACCGCCACATATTGACTCATGAGGGGATGCAGCGCCCTGAGAGCACTGGTGTGATGATTTATTTGCTGCACCTTACACTCAGGCTTGCCTGACCACCACCATTTTCTAGCCCGCACGTTGAACAGAATCTGTATTTTCTGCCTAGTAACTAGCAAGTCTGTACTACTTTTAAGGAAAACAAAAAACAGTGCCTCCCTACTTCCTTGGCCCTCATAATGACAGAAACACAACAGGGTTCTGAGAAATAAAACAGCTGATTTGAGTCTGCGAGGAAGTGAGAACTTAGGATGGATATCCGCCCCCGGCCTCAAAATCCTTAGCAACAATTGAAACAGAATGCCCTAGGGCAAAGTTGTATGCGTGCATTAGGCACGTGCGCAGACATTTGAAGTTGGAAACTCAGGCAACAGGTTGGCCGCCCCCTATCAGTACCGACAGATCGCCTTCCCCAAGTCGTGGGTGTGTCTGACGCCGCACGCCGGCACTGATTCACAACTCTCTCCATAACAACCGGCTCCTCCCTGGAGCCCAGCCAGGGCAGGGGCGAGGAAGGCCCCGGCAGGCCAAACTTTCCGAACCCCAACGCCGCGTCCCCAGTTCCGCCTCCTCTCGGTCTCTGTCAACCTCGTCTCAGGCCGGCTGCGACACTGCTCTAGGAACCTGGGCTTCTCCAGATTCCGACTCCTCCGTCTGGGAGCCCGGCAAAGTCACCCCGACGCCCCCAGACACCTACTTCCCACTACACCTTCCGGGACCACACTGTCTCCAGCGGCCCCTCGCTGCCGCTTCCCGGAGCGCCCGCGCCCAGAAACTGACCCTCGCCAGCCCCCGTCCCGGCTCCTTCCCCGCCCCCGGAAAAAGCGGCAGAGGGGCGTGGAGCGGCGCGCGCGGGTGCGGTGGGGGCGCGCGTTCCCGCGCCCCGGGTCCGCGCAGCAGGTGCGGCCAGGCCCCACCTCCCCCGCGAGGCCCCGGCTACTCACCCCAACGATGTTCCTCTGCGACCTAGCCTCCCGTACGGACGCCTCTTCCGCCTGCTCCGCACGCTCCTCGTAGCCACCGCCCCCTCGGCCGCTGCCGTCGCCGCCGTCCTCGCCGCCGCCGCCGCCGCCGCCGCCGCGGCGCGCGTCCGCCCTCACGCACACCGCCGTGGCCGCGCACGCGCCTCTGCGCGCTGGCGTCACTTAGCAACCGGTTGGCGGCGGGGAGGCGGGATCTGAGGGTTTAGGGCCGGAGGTCGACCCCGGCGGGTTTTGCGGCGTTTTCCCACCCGCCTGACCCGTCGCCCTCCTGGGCTGGGGGCCCCAGGGTGTGGCTGCCCTGCCGGCACCTGGCTCCGGGTAAGTTACGACACCATACGTCACTGTATGGCGTCACCGATCGCGTCACTGCAGATGGGAAGGTCTCTGTCATGAGGTTCCAGGGCGCCTGTGCTGGAAAGAGCAGTGGCCTCGTCCAGACTGGCGCCGATCCCATCGGTACTTCTGCGAAGTGTGGGATGGTTCTACAGGGAGTGGAACCAGAAGGGGCTGAGGGCACAGTCAACGTGGAAGACTGCTGAGTGACTGACACTCGTTAACCCAGCAGCAGGGTGTGATGGACCGAGCCTTGAATTCCCCCGTTAACTCATTTTATAAATGGGGCTAACAGTACCCATCCTGCCTACATTGGAGAATTGTGAGGCTAAGAGGAAATAATGTATGCAAACGTGCTTTGTAGAGTATAAAGCCCATTAGACTTTAAAATATTTTTATTATAGGAGAAGGCAGCCAAGCAAGAGCAGATGAGAGCCCGGACTTGAGAGTCAGAGAAACCTAGGTTCAAGTCTGATCCTGGCTGATGCTGGATAGTCAGTTTTGCTTGACGCTTGGACAAACTGGGGTACCAGGGTGTGGGGGTTTGGAACTATAAAGGATGTTTCATGAGCAAAGGTATGGAAGTGAAGATGGACAGGACGAGTAAGACCTGAGACCGGGAGACGAGTATTGAGGCCATTGCTGTACTCCAGTTAAGAAGTGATAAGAGCTTTAACAAAGGTATTGGCAGTGGGAATGTAGGAGAAAGAATAGATGTGAGTACTGTTAAGGTGGTAGAATTTACAGCACTGAGTGGGGGATAAGTAAGTAGGACAAATTTCTAGTATGGATGCTGGAAAAGATGGTGGAACCATTTAGCAAGATGGGAAGAAAGATGAGTCTGGGTTTCTCTACTAAGTTACTAGATAGTGGTGGTGACAGTCTTGGAGGATGATCAGATTTGTGGGATGAGATGGTGATGAGTTCAAATATAAATCTGTTTATTGGGGAAACAATCTCCACTCATGATGTTTCTTGCCATTTGGAGTGATATCCATAAGTATAATACTCCTGGCCTCTCACTGCACCTGCCCCAGCTCACTCCTCCCTGGAGCAATGACTTCCTGATTGGTGAATTTAAAAGGAGAAACTGGGCATATATAGCCCATCCCATTCTTTTCTCTTAAAAGAAAAGTGCCTTCAAGGAATTGCGTTGATGGTGTTCTCTGCTCCTCCAGCAGCAGGACCTGGGGTGGTGTTGAGGGTGCCTGGTCCAGGACGACAGTTAGTAAACCTATTTAATTTCATAATTTGGTATTAGGAAGCTCTCTGCCACAGGTAATATCCAGTACCAACTTCATCAGTTGTATTATACAGAATAATGGTCCCCCAAAATTGTTCATGTCCTAATCTACAGAATCTTATAAATGTGTTCCCTCCCTTACATGGCAAAAGGGACTTTGCAGATGGGATTAAGTTAAGGATCTTGAGATGAAGAGATTATTTTAGATTATTTGGCCGGGCTTGGAGATTGGAAGATCAGTATCAGGGAAAGAGATATGATGATGGAAACAAAAGTCGGAAAGAAAGAGAGATTTGAAGAATCTGCACTACTGGCATTGAAGATGGCACTGAGGAATGCAGACACCTTCTGGAAGCTGGAAAAGGCAAGGAAATGGATTCTACCTTAAAGCCCCCAGAGAGAGCACAGCTCTGCCAATACCTTGATTTTAGGATTTCTAATCTCCAGAACTGTCAGGTAATAAATTTGTGTTGTATACTAAGTTTGTGGTATTTGTTACAACAGCAGTAGGAAACTAATACAGTCAGTAGTAAAGATGATAGTTGGTCTTCTGCCGCATCCTCCTTTATTTGAAAGAGAAGGGTGCAGGTTCTCAGGCTCTCTCAAAGACTGCTGCATTGTGACTGTGACTTGGAGGGAACCTCCACATCCAGAGGGAAATAGCCAATAAGCAGTTGAATTACACAGATCGATGAATGAGGAGAGAGGTTGAGTGAAAATAAAACAGATTTAGAGGACATTAACTTTTAATTGGTAATTTAAGTCCTAGGTATGGGTGAGATCAATCAGGGAGAAACAATAGAAGAAACAATAAAGAAGACCAAGGATGGAGTTCCAGGAAGCACTAGCTATAAAAGGGAGTGGCAGATGAACAGACAACCACAAAGAATTCTGAGGAACTTGGATAATGCCTCAAGGCCGTAATGTCTCAAAAGCTAAGGTTGGAAAGAATTGCAAGATGGAGATGGGGTCAGTAGAGTCAGAGATCACAAGTAGGTCAAGTATATCAAGCGCTGAAAAGCACTGACTGGATTTAGCAACACAAAAGTGATTGGTGACCAATGATAATGGCTTTAGTGAGGTAGTAGATATAGACATCAAATTAGTGGGGTCTGAAAGGCAGGTCAATATAGTGGACTGGACTCTAGAGTGGTTGATGGATGTTTGAGACTCTAGTCTTGATTCTGGCAATTAACTAGCTAGGAAACCTTGGGCAAATCACTTAACTATTCCAGGCTTTGGTTTTCTCATCTATCCAAGGAGAGATCAGGCTGAGTCTGTGATTTTCACATAAATTCCTAGGTAATCCGAACTTTCTATTAGGCTTATTTGCTTATAACGGCACACTTCAAATCGCACACTTCAAATCCTCCTCAGATCATTTCACCAAACATTGAGAGTTAGTATGTTATATGCCAGCTTCTGTCCAGATACTATGGATCTGATACAGTTACCTGAGAAGCTCACAGTTTTGGAAGGGAGATAAACACGGAAGTATGTAACAAAATCGCCATAGTCCTTTTTTAAGCAAAGCAAGGTACAAATTGAACGAGCTATTAACTGTAGCACAGTATACTACATGCTATAGTAGAAATCTGTATGAAGTGAAATAAGGGATGTGTGAAGTGATGCAGATAAAGGAGCAATCAGTTTTGTCTAATGGAAATCAAGGTATTTGCCTGCTGTCTGGGCACAGTATGCTTCAAAAATGGACATAACTGTACCAGTGACATTTCCCGTGGTGATTTACAAAATGAGAGTTGTGCCACGTCAGTGCCAATCACTTAACATTCCTTCCAGGTAGTTTTGTTGTGATCTGAAAGGTTATTTATGTACAACTACTTCTAAACTAAGCACACTGTTGAACTGGGGGGAAACGGACATATGTACAAGTTGAATGCAGAGGAATTTATTTATTCCACCAGATCCAAGAGGAAACATCTATTTGTTATACATACCATGCTCTATTACATTTGCTCATCTAATTCTCAGATATTATCTCATTTAATTTTGCAGACATCAGCATATTGTATCAACAGCCAACATTATATCTCTGTTTTAGCAGGTGAGAACACAAAGTTGAAGTAATCTGGTCAAGCTCATACTAACAGCAGTTACGTAGTAGACTAAGATTTGGACCGAGCACAGACATCCTCCTTTCCTCGGGCCTTAGTTTAAGTGCCCTTCCTCTGTACTATTACATCATGTGCACACCTTTATTTTAGCATTTACTATAATAATGATGATGCTTACTATGTTCCAGGTCCTGTTTTAGGTACATAATAGGCACTAACTCATTTAAGCCTCATAACAGCTCTTTGAGGTATAGTTTTAATCACAGTACTTTTATAAATCAGGAAACTAAGGCACAGAAAGTTTAAGTAATTTACTCAAGGTCACACAGTAACTGCTGGGGCCAGGATTCACCCATACCAAGCACCCTCTGCTAACATGGAGGGATTCTAGATGACATAGTTTCCAGAACTCATCGATGCAGTTACTGTAGGGCTGTTGTGTGTGATATTGCTCTGTATTCCTTATTAAATGAACACAAGAGAATTTTTTCTCAGGCCAACCATCATGAAACTCAAGGCTACCTTTGAGTAACTGGTAAGTTTTCTCCTTATAGGCAATGTGAATTATATAACTGGCTGTTTTCCTCCTTTCACTTTGACTGCCAAGAAGCTCCGAGTAAATTTGTGGCTCAGCATTAGTAACTGGGAGGACGCTTGGCCTGCATATCTGTATTCTGTTGGATTGAAATTTTTCAAAATAAAAAGCTGGGGGAGAAATAATCTAAATTCTTCTTTATTTTCTAAATTTTTGGCAGTGTACATTTATAATTAGAAAAGCAAATAAAAGAATGTTTGCCACTTCGAATGATTTCTCAGGCTTTACTCTGGGGACAAGAACTAGTTTCAGGTTAAATTCCATGCATTCAATATAGAATCCTAGTTCTTAGAAAACCAGGACTTCTGCATTTCTTGAAAAGTCCAGATCACTAGAATTTGTGTTCAGACAGATCAGAAGGTATTTTAAGTAGCATAAAAGAAGTAAGTTGTGGCCCTCCTTGTTTTTAACCTATATCTAAGTACTTTGAAACCACTTTTGGATTATTTTGACATATGCTAGCTTGCTTTAGAGATAGAAAGTCAATTATCTTCCTTAATGATGATATTTTATTATAATGAAGTTTAACGTACAGTTGATTTTGTGGTTTACCATTGGCTGAAAGAGTGGATAAAGATCACCTGTTCTAAAACTAAAATAATGGGGCGCCTGGGTGACTCAGTTGTTAAGCGTCTGCCTTTGGCTCAAATCATGATCCCAGGGTCCTGGGATCAAGCCCTGCATCGGGCTCCTTGCTCAGCAGGAAGCCTGCTTCTCCCTCTCGCACTCCACCTGCTTGTGTTTCCTCTCTGGCTGTGTCTCTCTGTGTCAAATAAATAAATAAAATCTTTAAAAAAATAAAAATAAAATAATTATTTTGACACATTTTCTCAAGTTTGATTGACCTAGATCCAACAATTAAATACCAGATTCATTTCTTTATTTAAGGGTATGTTTTGCAAGTAATTCTTTCAGGTAGATTTACTGGCCACTTTGCTAAAAACCATACATTTCA